GGACAGATGTGAGCCAAGAGAGTTATCGGGAACAGCTTCATGCTGATCTCATCTGAGATTAAAAAAAAAAAAAAAAAGGAGAACTTGCTAAACGTCTTCTCCCAAGGTCAGCCAAGCAGAGGAATGTGGTTTTCCAGATGAACTTTGTCTTGTTGCCCTTATAACGTTCAGGCTGATGTGGGGAAAACCACTCTACTGGCATTGCGTTCCTTTCCAAGGTGCATGCGTGCTCTTTGGCAGATTGCTCACCTGTTTCACTTTTGTCTTTATTTTGCTCCTCCAATCCAGTTCGCTCTACTTCTTCCTTTGATCCTAAGTCCTACCTTTCAGTCCCCATTCATTCATTCATTCATGCTCACGCCCATCTGTCATCCATCTATCCATTTATTCAACAAATGTATTGAGTGTCATGTCTCAGGCACCATATATTATGGATACAGCAATAAATAGGGGGAAATTAAGTGGGGAAACAATTCTACTAGAGGAGCTTCATGACATCAGGAAACACAAAGAGAAAGTACTGCAACAAGGTCCTAACCATCTTTATGTTGGGTAGTTAGCTTCCCCGTGAGTTTCTGGTGAACTGCTATTCCTATATGAGAGGGCCGAAAGCTATAAGGGATTGAAACCCACTTGTCTTTGTCGGAACAAGACATAGACTCGCAACGTGTTATGGGAAACAAGTTCTGAAGGACACGAGGGTATTCAGTAACCCAATGGGCACATAGTTGGATGCAGGTAGGGGTTTTTCCTTTTTAAAATGCTATACTTTGGGCCCATCTAGGGGGATCTATAGTCCCCTGGAAATCTATAAGTAACTCTCTGAAGGGGACCTGTGAGAGATGATCCCACTCAGCTTGTTCTTTCAGAAAGAGGACACGCAAGCCTCCTATTCCGCTTTATCTCCAGGGTCACAAACCCCTCTTCTTCCCGTTTACTAAATTAACAAACGTTTACCATCCTTATGCTCAACCAACATGGAAGATACAAGAACATTATGAGACAGAGAACAGCCAACAGCTAACCACTTGCTCTATGCCTGCCCAGCACAGGCTACGCATAAAACTGTTGAGTGAAATACGCATCCAGTGCCACAGCCAATAAACACCTGGATCCAGAGTAATATGCCCTGGTTTAAGGGGCTGCTTCCACATCAGTTTCCCTGTTCATTCCTGAGCTGCTTTAGGGCAGAACTGGTTTCCTATTATTGCTATACCCATAACATATAGTGCCTAAGACATGGTATCGACACTGTTTTTGAATAAATGAATACATGGATGATGGATGACAAGTGAGTGTGTGCCTCTGTGAATGACTGAACGGACGGTGACTGACAGGTCGGACTTGGGGTCAAAGGTAGAAGTACAGCAAACCAGATCGAAGGAGCAAAATAAAGACAAAAATGAAACAGGTAGGAAATCTTTGTGAAGCAAGAGTGCACCTTGGAAGAGGACAGGTTAGATAATGTTCAACAAAAATTGCTCCTATTTTAAGACATTTCCTCTTATTCAGTCATTAAAAGAAAATGGAAATCAGCCAGTCACAGGATCTCCCTTGAAAACCCGTCAGATATTTGCAATCTGAAACTATTTAAACTGTATCTTGTTTTGCTCACAGTTGCATCCATAGACCCGACACATAATAGATACACAAGAAGGATTTGTTGAAAGAACGAGTTCGTGCTTTAAGCTTCCTCTTTTTCACACAGCCTTGGCAGTGATTGAAGACCTCCAACCCATACATGAAGCCAGATTTCAGAGCTCCAACACTTACGTTTCAAACTGATTCACTGTCTCAGACAAAGACCGATGAATTAGTTACGCAGGCTCTGGCTGATGCTAGACGATTACTAAACCAGGCTTGATCGCATGTGTTTCTCCAAATATTTAGATGTTAAAAACCATTCAGAAATGTGAATTCAGCTTCTTCCCATACCCGTCAGACCTCCCTTTCAGAATACAGCAGGTCACACAAAGTGTATTATGTTTACCACACCCTCCTCTGAGGACCCCTCAATGCAAAGCAAAGGCAATGGTAGGAATTATTAGAATGACATCGTGAGTGAGTTTGGGGTTCCCTCTCCCCCAGTGTTTTGTTTAAAGTTGGGTTTAAGTCCGGCCTTTAGCTTTTGAGCTTCAGCTAAAAAATTATTGGATGAGAAACGATTCTACTTCCTATTCTTCTTCTAACAGCCTTTCTCGTTCTGATTTATAAGACGATTCTGTCCTTTATATCTACTTCTTATTCTTTCAACCAGTACAGAGTATACCTGCTCTATTCCACACGAAAGACTGACTTCTCCCTGCTTATAATAAGAACCCTGAACCAAGATCCATTTCTTATCATCCATCTCTGTTATCCGGGACACCTCACCTTCTGCCTTGAATCGTCTGCCTCCTCTCCTCCAAAGCTTCTATGTCACCTTCAAGTCCTTCCTCCTAGTATTCATCTCAGGCTAACTGCATCCCCCTTCCACATCCCCTCACATGCTCTCGCCTCCTCCCCAGCTGTGTGCTCATCACTCGCTTTGCCACCCGTTCGGAGGACTTTAAACACGAGAGCACAGGCTACAGCTGCTACCTTCTTCGCCAGCTTCACGGCACCCAGTTCAGAGCCCCGCAGACAGTGAAATCCCAACACCATGATGACTGTCACTCTAGAAGTGACTTCGCTGGTGTTACCTCTAGCCAGCCTCTTTCGTGGACCCTACATTCACTCTACGTTCATAGCTCCAAGTCCCTCCCCAGGTCAAGGCTGCCGATTATTTTAACCTCTACTCAGGATCTGGATGTGGAAAAGTGGTTTTTGTTTGGTTGGTTGGTTGGGTTTTTTTTTCTTTCTTTCTTTCTATACTTCCAAAGGTTCTTGCTACTTTTCCTTTAAATTCCGTTCCATTAGGGTTTTCGTTGTGAAATTCCTGAGTCTAGAAACTCAAGAGTACTCCCACCGCAGAAGTTCCCTTACACACCGTCAGGCTGCTTTGGAAGGTCATGTGGTAAATCTACATCCTTGAGGACAATTTTCAGGCTGGAAAAGCAGGAACTTAGCACGACGGCCTTCAGAACTCTTTGCAAACATCAAAACCTACAATCCAACCATTTCTCTATGTGTACTAACATGGGCTTTCCAAAATGTGTCACATTCTTTTTAGTGATACTTTTCTATGTTTTATGCCCTTTTAATTGTTCTCTTTACTCCATTTAGCTCTAGTTTCGTGCATGCTATTTAACCCCCATTTTCAGATAACTTTTGTATCTGAAATACTTAAGACCTCTTGCATCATAGTAAGTTTTATAAGACATTGATGATAGCACATCTAGATGAGGCGCTCAGGGAACAAAACCTCATTAAAACCATTTCTTCTTCCTGCTTCGACAGCGCAGGGTTACTCTGAGGTTTCTAAGTAATGTTTTTGGCTTTAATAGCCGGAAGGTATGATGAGGGCTAAGTGACCTTCACAAACCTTAACCAAAATTACAGAAAATTTTAAGAATCAAGGATGGGATTACTACTGATCAATCTTATAAAGGCTAATTTGGTAATCTGGGATGCCCTTGAAAAGAATGGTGTCCATCAACAAACATGTCCTTAGATGTACTGAATAAAAGCATCAGTTTAACTGGTACCTGCTAATAGGCCCACTGGGACTATGTCTTTTGAAGAGATGTGTTATTTGATTCGAATTATATTCAACTTTGCTTATTCCTAGGTAGACAATCATTTTCTCTCATCTCATACTTTTTTCTGAAAATCAATTTTTTTTCTCCCCATGGAGAACATTCAGAAGATTTAGTATTAATAGTTTTAACTTAGGACTTTTCATTTGCCCCGCCATCTTCACAGTTCCCCAAACACACACACAGGCAGGCACGCACGCACTTTCTCCCTTCTCTCAAGATAACTTCTTTTCCAACTCAGGGTGGTTGACTAATAAGCACAGACAGGTTGATCCACAGTTTTGAAACAGGAAACGTCTATCAGCTCTCACCTTAGTGAGAGTGAATAGCGTGGGAACTCCATCTAAGGACAAGGCAGAAAAACGAAAATTGAGAATTGTACTGGGTAGTTAATTTGGTACTCATACTTGTTGAGCTTCAATATCGCGCGAAGTTCAGACCAGAGCCAGGACCCCTCTGATAAACACTGAGACTTCTAGGCAAAGCCGGGCAGGCAGTACCATTTTACCAGTGTGAATTCTCAAACAGTCTCTAAAACTTTATTCCAAGGACCTCATCCCCATAAAGCATTCTGTGTTACTTCCCCTCAGCCTGGTCACGGGGTCAGCATCACATCTTGGTGAGTGTTTAGGTTTCCTAAAAACACAGACCAGACACTGAAGTCTTTCATAAACAACCAAGTATTCCTCCTTTAATTCCTAGATATGATGGAGAAATGCCTAGGCCGAGCAGTAGGTAAATAAAGAGGTAATTACAAATGCCTGTTTCCTTGACAACTCCCCTCCCCCATCCCTCCCGCGATAGGGAAAAACCAAAATGCGAGTGAGGAGGGGTAGCCGCAAAGCCACGCCGGATTCTCGCAAGCCCGAGCGGCGACGAGCGCAGCAAGCCGCAAACCAGAAACGAAATACAGATAAATCCATTTCTAGCAGGGCTGCATTTCGTGTAGTATTTTTGTGGTTGCCATAGAAACGTCAGAGACGGAAGAACATGTTGCATGACACAAAAGAGAGCAGCATGTAGCAGAACGTTCTCCCCAGCTTCATCGATGGCAGAGAGGAGGCTCCGACCCGGGAGGGGAGGGCGGGGGCGCATTAGGCCGAGGAGAGCGGCTCGCGGTCACCACCCAGAGGGGCGCGGGCGCGGCGCCCAAAGCCGCGGTGGTCCCGCGGAGCCGCCGCGCCCGCCCCGCCGCGCCCTGCCCTTCCCGCCGCCCGCGGAGCCCGCACAGCCGGCGAGGGGAGGAGAAGCGAGGCGGGAGCGATGCGAGCCGCGGCCACACCCAGCGGGAAGGTGCCTGGGCCCGGCGCGAGCAGCACCTACCTGCTTCCTGGCAGCCCCGGGCACATGGACTTCGCAGCCAGAACCTGGACGGAGCCGCCGGGCGCAGACCGCCACTAGTTTACGGGGCTGCGAGTCAGCCACCACTGGGGAGAAAAGCGAGACTCCACCCCCGGGGTGGACCCTTCGGGAAGAAAAAAAAAAGTGGTCCTCAGCTGACGTCTCTCCCCACTCATGTCACTTCCTTTTAAAGCTACAAGTTAGCAGTTACCGGGAGGGAAGGTCGCGCTGGTGTAATTCGAGTCACTCCCTTCCCCTTCCAATTAGCGCGAGCGAGCGCTCCGGTTGGCTTCGCGTTTGCAATCTGGCTCGGCGTCTGCCGGAGTCCAAAACAAAGCCCGCCAAGTGGCCTTCCCTTCTCCCCCCTCTCCCAAACCCTGTTGCGTCCCCAAGCCGGTGGCCCCTCCGGCCTCGGCGCCCACGGACTCCGGCCCCGCCTGGGCTGCGACCTGGAAATTGGCCCCGGTCGGCTCGTCTCTAATTCGGCAGGTACAGGATCGATCTGTCTGGCGACAGGCCCACGCTCTGAAGCGCCCTCACCTCTCCTCGCTCCGCCGTGCTGGAAGGAGGTTGCTTCCCCTCCGAGGAGCCCAGAAGCACCTTCCACAAAATAAGCCTTAACGCACAACAGATGGAGACGTTACGAACAGGATGAAAGCAGCCTGGAGGCCGAGCGGTGCGTTTTCTCCGTCCGAGCCCGGGCACCGAGGCTGCTTCCCGCTGCACCCGCGGGCACGCGCGCACTCACAGGCGCACACGCACGTGCACGTGGCATTTACACGACGGGGATTAGAGGGTCTGGGCAGAGCTTTATAATAAAAGAGTGTCCTCACAACTTTAAAAGGGGCCAGGCTGTTGAAAGTCCAGAAATGCCAGGTCTCCAATATTCCCAGAAAATTATTTCAGTCTCAAAATGGTCAAGGTGTATGTCCTTCAAATAACTGTTACAGCCATTGTCACAAATGCGAGGATTTACCTATGACTCCCGGGTTCATTCCGTTCTTTAGATGTTTACAACCTACAGGGGGAAATAAATTGCTCACAAATAGCTAGAACACATTGCACAATTACCGAGAGTGAAGAAAGTGTCAAAAACAGTGTAAAGAAGCCAGAGAGGGCAGAAAGGGCTGTCTTGGTTGCCATGGGGAGGCATTTGGAAGTCAGGAAACAGGGTTGGACTGGGTTCTTCAGGGTGGGTGGCATTTTGAGGGGACTGGGGAGGGGTAAAGCAAGGGTGGGGAAGAGGATAAAGGACATCTGGGATTAGAACGGAGAGCCCACTCGTGGCAACTGCTTGTTTTAGTATCTATGTGAAAATAAATTTGACCAGACAGTAATGCTTATAAAGATGTTTATGAAAAGTTTTTTGCAGCTAATGCAATTTTAAGAGTTCTCTCTCATAACTTTTCTAATTCTGTTTTATAATCCATTTGTTTCATCTAGGTTTGGTAGAAACTTTGCACTAGGGCTTTTCAAAGTATTTTTCAAATAGAGTTTGACTGTTCTTCACAGTTGAATGCTCAATAGGAATTTATTTCAAAATCTACAAATTGCACACATTTGTGCTATATTTATTACAAGTATAGTCAATTATTTCAATGGAAACAATAGAAACTTTAAAATGTTGACAATTGCAACTCATTCCGATCTCAATTCTTTAATGTCTTTATTCCATTACTATGGTTATAATTATTGTTATGCTTATTATTGCTAACACTTTGCCTATCTAGACAACGTTGCCCACAGTCTCAATTATCTCAGCGATAGCTGAGAAATATGGGAGAAAAAATTACTACTTCTAAGAATTTAGAGAACTACAACGTTCATGGGTTAAATGCTACGCACTTTATTGAGAGTCCCCTTCAGAATCTATCCTTATTTGATAAGCACTTATTTAGCTGTTTCTATCTTAACAAGATATTGTGAACGTTTCCAGATCATAATCTAATGATTCAGTTTTACACATATTTATTGAGCGTCTGTGCTAGTTGCTGAAGACACGAAAACATGAGTAAGACGTGGACATTGCCCCAAAGTGCTCAAAGTCTTAGAAGGGAAAGAGACATGTCGGCCATGGTGACACGAGTGGTGGTGCTGGTGGACCTCTGTACACAGGTCAGAGGTGGCCCGAGAATGAGAACAGGGAAGGGGGGCATGTGTACATAGTAACTTAGCTCACAGCAAATTCTAAGAGGAGTGAACGTATATTCATCAGTGAGACAGTGAGAAATAAATACCGATAGAGAAGAAAAAATTTAAAAGTAGATACAAGGCATAAACTGATAACTCAAAAAAGGATATATAAATGGCCAATAAACAAACAGAAAAAGATGCAACTTTACATAAAAATACAAGTACAAAGGAAGAGATGTCATTATTTTGCCTATTCACTTGTCAAGCATTCCAAAAACTTTAATGCTACTGTAAAGAGGATGGAACGTGACAGGCTCTCTCCTCTCTTGCTGGTGACGGTAAATGGACACAATCTCTGAGATTCAACTAAGCAAAAATTTTCCTCAACCTTTAAAATGCTCATACTCCTTAATCCAATAATTCAACTCAAAAAGATTTATACCAAGGAAATAAGCCGAGATAAATTCAAAGGTTTAGGTACATGTATATTCATCAGAGCCATTTATGATAGAAAAGAATGGGAACCATCTGAGTTTCCGAAGTAGCAGGTTGACTATGTAAATGATGTGATATTCATATGATGAAACACTCCGCAGAAATTAAAAATCCTATTTTTGAAAGATATAGGGAGACTCATGATATCCTAACTGAAAAGAGAACTAAGCTATACATAAAATATGATCCCCTTGTTATAATTATACAAATATACATTATATTGTGTATGGTGGGTTGAATAAGTGTCCTCCCAAAATTCATGACCACCCAGAACCTCAGAATATGATCCTATTTGGAAACAGGGTGTTTGCAGATGTAATTAGCAAAGACGAAGTCATGCTGGATTAGGGTGGGCAGCAGGTCCAATGTCCTCATAAGAAAAGACACGCAGAGAATAAGGCCATGTGATGAGGAAGGCAGAACTTGGAATGATGTGTCTACAAGCCACACGTTGCTGGCAACCACCAGAAGCTAGGAGAGGTGCATGGAACAGATTCTCCCAGAGCCACCAGCAGGAACCAGCCCTGCTGATGCCTTAATTTCAGACTCCTGGCCTCCTGGACTGTGAGAAAATAAACTTCAGTTGTTTTAATTGTGGTAACTGGTTCTGGCAGCCCTGGGAAACTAATATAGTGTGTAAAGGGGTCATTAGACTGCTAACAATGATTATTTCTGGACAGTGACATTGACGATGATTTTTATTTTATTTATATTTTATTGCATTTTGAAGAACTTTCTGCAATGTACATGTATGAGTTTTACAATAAGAAGAAGATTTTCATTAAATAACAAATAACCCAAGGTTTCTAAAAGCATAGTGTTCAAGGGCAATTTAGGACAAAAGCAAGGAATAATCAGTGATGATTATGACATGTTAAATCCCAAAGATTAAAGTATTTTCGGAGTCCTCTGTGAGGTAGAAATCTGTATATTTCAGAAACTTTTTTTAAACCTAAGTTTTTGTACTTAAAATTGTGGCATCATTTGTCTAAAATGTGAACTTACACACCATGTATTTAACTGCTGTGCTACCTAATTGAGTTACTAATGGCATGATTTCAAACTGACCATTCTCTTAACACATGGTTATCTACACATTGACAGGGTTTTTATTTGCCTAGTGCAAATAAAATATAGATATTCCTATAAATCTATATATATAGTATGAAATTTTTCTTAAGATAAATTTGCAATTATGATTACTTTATTGGATGCTAAATTAGGAATTGTGGCTGCTTAGACAAGACAAAGTATAAATAATAAAGTTAATTTAATATTTAGAATGTATAATCTTGTATCTAATAGTTGTATATTTCCATAAACTCTAATTGAGTTTTTAAAATTGTCATATATGTTTTTAATAACCAAAAAACTCTTAAAGTTGTCACGTTATTATTGCAATAATTTCAGGTACACTCGAATAGGTTTAACATTAACTATAACTGAAGAAAGTGCAAAAGAACCAGACAAAATTTCCTCCTTAATCAACTATTATTATAAGTCATTCCCAGAAGATGAATGCATTTGCAGAACCCTCTGTGGATCATCAGCTCTTAATGCGTCTTAACGCTGACTTTAAGATTTGCTGTCTGTATTCACTGAGCTCTTTTCTCTTTCAGACATCCTCAGATCAATTCGGCATGGCTGGGTTGACTGAAAAGTCATCCACTCCCCTCTTCTGAACCCGGCAATGAGAGACTTGAAATCACACGATGCAGGAGCGAATCTACTACAGTCGAAGGAAGTGAATTTAAATCAGTTAATGCCCAAGTGATGGGCAGCAAATTGAAAAAGATATCAGTGTGACTATCTGATTTGAAAAGAGAAGGTAATACAACATGAATACAGAAACTTAGCATTTATATTCTTCACAACCAAGTGAAAAGAAAGCACATAAGTTTGAGTGGTATTTAACTTGGGGTGATTTTCACTTCATTGCACTTTACATATCGTGTGATTTTTTGAAAAAAATAAATTCGTTTTTCTTTTTTTTTTTTGAGATAGGGTATTGTTCCGTCACCTAGGGTGGAGTGCCGTGGCATCATGATAGCTCACTGCAACCTCAAACTCCTCGGCTCAAGCGATCCTCCTGTCTCAGCCTCCCAAGTAGCTGGGACTACAGACATGTGCCACCACACTTGGCTAATTTTTTCTGTTTTTAGTGAAGACAGGGTCTCGCTCTTGCTCAGGCTGGTCTCAAACTCCTGGCCTCAAGCGATCCTCCCGCCTCGGCCTCCCAAAGTGCTGGGAACATAGGCGTGAGCCACCATGACAAGCATGTATTACTTTTATAAACAGAAAAGTAACACTGTATTTATTTTCTAAAATAAACACTTTCCATTCTCAACTGTTGACATAAATGCTCTTCCTTATCTGGTAACCATTGAAGCTTATAGCATAACGGAGGCCGGGCTCACGCCTGTAATCCTAGCACTCCGGGAGGCCGAGGCGGGCGGATTGTTTGAGCT